TCATAACTAACATTTTCTCCATGTTTCTCCATAACAGTTTTCTGTTTGGTAAGAATGTCAATGGATCCCATTACTATCATCTTTCTCCATGTTTAACTAATTACAGGATAGATAGTTACGTTTCTGTTTGGTAAGAATGTCAATGGATCCCATTACTATAATCTTTCACCATGTTTAATTAATCACAGGATAGATAGTTAGGTTTCTGTTTGGTAAGAATGTAAATGGATCTCATTACTATGCTCTTTCTCCATGTTTAACTAATTACAGGAAATATAGTTAGGTTTCTGTTTGGTAAGAATGTCAATGGATCCCATTACTATCATCTTTCTCCATGTTTAATTAATCACAGGATAGATAGTTAGGTTTCTGTTTGGTAAGAATGTAAATGGATCCCATTACTATAATCTTTCACCATGTTTAACTAATTAAAAAATATATTTCTGTTTGGTAAGACTTTCAGTGGGTCTCGTTATTTACGCCTTTCTCCACGTTTAAGTAACTACAGAAAATGGAGTTTGTTTGCTACTAAGTACAAAGCTACACAATGGGCTATCTTTGTTGTACCCACTACGGGTATAGGTTTCTGTTTGGTAACACTGTCAGTGGATGCCATTACTGACATCTTTCTCTATGTTTAACTAACTGCAAGAAATGTACTAAATATATTTCTGTTTGGTAACACTGTCAGTGGATGCCATTACTGACATCTTTCTCCATGTTTAACTAACTGTAAGAAATGTACTAAATAGATTTCTGTTTGGTAACACTGTCAGTGGATGCCATTACTGACATCTTTCTCCATGTTTAACTAAACTGCAAGAAATGTACTAAATATATTTCTGTTTGGTAACACTGTCAGTGGATGCCATTACTGACATCTTTCTCCATGTTTAACTAACTGCAAGAAATGTAGTAAACAGGTTGCTGTTTGCTAAGACATTCACAGTTTCTATACTACTAACATTTCAGTTGTTCCCTTAAAGTTGGTTATTAGACATCTTTTTGATAAGATTTTCCATTTACCCCCGATGAAGGAAAGTCGACTTTCTGAAAGCACTTGAGTTATTGGGTTTCTGATGGGTGGTCAGAGATTTCCCTTCCTACAAAATGACCGTTAGGTAGTTTATTTCTTTTAAATGACTAGTACTAGCTTAATTGATCAATGTGTGTGTGGCCTGAATCTGGATAGCTAGTTTGAAGTCTTCTTTCCACTGCCTTCTGGAAGTACTTATCTCTGAAGACACGTGTAGCTTCGGGAACATGAGCTCCATTTTGATTCTCTTTACAACCCTAATAGTGTAGAAAGTGGAAAATAATGTAAAAGATTTTTATCAATATAGTTTCTTCTGTAGAATATTTCCAAACTGTCATTTAGTAAAAAATCATCAAAACATTATAATACATCAGAAAATCAATAAAGAGAGGATTTTTGATAAATTTCAGTAATAACCTGTAAAATGAATTGATTATAATAAAATTTTCAAAAGACATGGATTTTATCATGAAAAAACATCTGAAATATTAGCTTCAAAAAGTTTATTGTTCTAACAGATCTTGCTAAACATAAACAATAGCAGCTGGGAAGTATGAAAGTTTATTGTTCTAACAGATCTTGCTAAACATAAACAATAGCAGCTGAGAAGTATGAAAGTTTATTGTTCTAACAGATCTTGCTAAACATAAATAATAGCAGCTGAGAAGTATGAAAGTTTATTGTTCTAACAGATCTTGCTAAACATAAACAATAGCAGCTGAGAAGTTTGAAAGTTTATTGTTCTAACAGATCTTGCTAAACATAAACAATAGCAGCTGAGAAGTATGAAAGTTTATTGTTGTAAAAGGTCTTGATACATCAAAATATTAGCTCCATAGAGTATGAAAGTTTATTGTTGTAAAAGGTCTTGATAGAGAAAAATAGCAGACCAAACCAAGCCTTTATAGTAGTGAGGTATTTTCACAAAAAGAAACCTATTATTCTATAGGTATTTGAAGAACTTGTAGCATTCCGCTATTTCATTGGTGGTAGTGTCCAGGGTCACTGATGAGGAGTGGAATTCTCCG